CAGATGATAGAAGCAGAAGGAATACTGCTGAAGTCATTCCATGAGGCCAGAATCATCCTAATGCCAGAACCAAATACATTATAAGAAATACAAACCAATATCTTTCATGACATAGATGTAAAAATCCTCATCAAAATATTAGTAAATGAAATATAACAATGTATAAAAATAATTATTTATCATGACCAAGTGGGTTAATCTGAGGTTTACAAATCCAATTCAACATTCAAAAGTCAATTAATGTAATTCAACATATTAACAGGTTAAAGAAGACCATTACACAATCATATCAGTAGATATAAGAAAAGCATTTGATAAAATTCAACACTCGTTTATAATAAAAACTCTCAGTAAACTAGGAATAGAGAGCAACTTCCTCAATTTAATAAAAGACATCTCTAAAATCTGGTATCAGCACACATGATGGTGAAGAACTTGAAACTTTCTTACTAAGATCAAGAACAAGGCAAGGATGCTCCCTTTTACCACCCCTTGTCAACATCATATTGGAAGTCCTAGTTAATGTAATAAGACAAGAAAATCAAATCAAAATGTATACAGATTAGGAAGGAAGAAATAAAACTGTATTCACAGATGACAGGCTCTTGTAGTTGAAAATCTGAGAGAATCAACAACACAAAATACTGGAGAAAAAGTCAATTGTTTTCCTGTATACCAGATGAGCAAGTGGAATTTGAAATTAAAAACACATTACCATTTATTTAACAAACCAAAAAAATGAAATACTTAGGTATAAATCTAATAAAATATGTAGAAGATTTATATGAGAAAAACCACAAATGCTAATAAAAGACATAAAAAAAAAGATAAAGACATGGAGACATAATCCATGTTCATGAATAGGAAGACTCAATTTTATAAAGATGTTAGTCCTTTCCAACTTGATTCAGATTCAGTGCAACCCCAATCAAATTCCCAACATGTTATTACAAATTAATTACAAAGCTATATGGAGAAGCAAAAGGCCCAGAATAGTCAACTCAATATTGAAGAAGAAAAAGTTGGGAGGACTGACACTACCCAAGCTCAAGCCTTACTACAACGCTATAGTCATCAAGACAGTGGGATATTAGTGAAAGGATATATAAATAGATCAGTAGAATGGAATAGAGTCCAGAAATAAACCCACACAAAATACAATCAACTGATCTCTGACAAAGGAGCAAAGACAATACAATGAAACAAAAAATCTTTGCAATAAATGGTGCTGAAAAAACTGGTCATTCACATGAAAAAAATGAATCTGGACACAGACCATGCACCTTTCACAAAAATCAATTCAAGATGCAGCATCAATGTAAATGTTAAAAAGCAAAATTATGAAATTCCTAAAAAATAATATAGGAGAAAACTTAGATGACCTTGGGTATAGCATTGACTTTTTGGATATAATATCTATGGTGTGACCCATTAAAAAATAGATAAGTTGGACTTCATTAAAATTAAAATATTCTAATCTATAAAAAATAATGTCAAGAGAATGATAAGACAAGCCACAGACTGGGAGAAAATATTTGCAGAAGATACACATCTGTAAAAGACTTGTATCTAAAATTTGAAGGATGATTTGTAAAACTCAACAATAGGAGAATGAACAACCCAATTTTAAAAATGGGCAAAAGGGCTGAACAGACATGTCACCAAAAAGATATACAGATAGCACAGAATGGCAAATTAAGACAACAGTGAGATACCACTACATATCTGTTAGAATGGCCAAAATCCAAAGCATTCACAATAGCAAATGCTGATGAGAATGTGGAGTAGTAGAACTTTCATTCATTGTTAGTGGGGATGCAAAATAATACTGCCACTTTAGAAGATAATATATATATTCTTACCAATATATATATTCTTACCAATCACACTTCTTGGTATTTATCCAAATGAACTGAAAACTTATGTATATTCCAAAACCTGCATGCAGATGTTTATAGCAGCTTTATTCATTATTGCCAAAACCAAAACTTGGAAACAACTAATATGTCCTTTATTAGGTGAATGGGTAAAAAACAAAACTGTAGTACATTTAGACATCGAAATATCAGAGCTAAAAAAAAATGCTAAGAAGCCATGAAAAGACATAGAGGGAATTTAAATGCATACTGAATGAAAGAAGCCAATCTTTCTCTGAAAAGGCTACATACTGTATGATTCCAACTGCATGACATTCTGAAAAAGACAAAACTAAGGAGATAGTAAAAAAATTCAGTGGTTGTCTGGGCTTAGAGAGGAGGGAGGTATGAACAGGCAGAGCACAGAGAATGTTCAGGGCAATAAAACTATTCTGTATAATACTATAGTGGTAGATACATGTCATTATACATTTGTATATAGACTGTACATCAAGAGTGAACCTTACTGCAAACTATGGGCTGTGAGTGATAATGATGTGTCTATGTAGGTTCATCAATTGTAACAAATGTACCACATGCTGTTAGTGGAGGAGGTTGTGTGCATGGGGACAGGGGGCGTATGGAAACTCTGTACCTTCTGCTCAGTTTTGCTGTAAATCTAAAACTGATCTAAAAAATAAAGTTTATTTTTTAAAAAGTTATATTCAAGTGTGAAGTAATATTAGATTGACACGATATTACTTTGCCCAAAATTATCACATTTATGCCTATTGTTCTGCATAATTTTTCACAATTAAAATTTCTCTATTAAAATTTCAATTTCCTGGTTGAGACAAAAAAAAATGTATGCCCATCCCACTTCCACTTATCATGGAGTCTTTTTTTTTTTTGACATGATCTCATCTATGTTAAAAGTCTTTCCCAAATATCTCATTTAAAAATTTAAAAATTTAGATCCCTCCCTTAGAGATTTTGATTCAGTAATTTCAAGGTAAAGCCTGGAAATCTATACTTTTAAAAGCATCCTTGTGGGTTTGTATGATCACAGGACATTAAACCAAAGAGTTGATTTATGCAACTGAATTTCATGCAAAACTTTAATTATGTATTTGGATTAAGATGGGCTCTGGTCATGGAAGTTTCTTGCTGTAGTCCATCAACAACCATAAGTCATTCTGACAAATTCACATTTTTTCTTGGTAATAATACGTTTGGGAATGGTTCCCATAAAATTGAGTACGTGCTAGGACCTGGGGACATGCCATTACTTTAGCAAAGATAACACAAATTAAGTCTAAAAATAACAGTCCAAATATGTATACTATTTTCTTTTCCCATTATTGCAAAGATGTAAGCTGCATTTTCTGAGGTTTGCTGACTGTCCTAAGAATAGTGATGAAATGAAATATCAAGTTGTAAATGGGGGTGAACAATCTAAGTTACTGGCTAATCATCAGATTTTGAAGACTGTCATCACAATTGCAACTCACAAGTATTGTTTTCTTAAAAAAAATATAGTTAGCTATGTTTTTGTTTGGGGAATAAAGGACTATAGACATTATGTCTCAGAAAACCAATTTTATCAATTCCTTCAGGCCTCTGACAAGACCTTTGTACGTTACTGTATTATGTTACCACCCAACACAAATGCAAAGCAAGGCAAAACCTTCGGAATACAAACCCTTGCATGGATTTGTTTATAAAAGCCTTTGTCTGGAGGTGTCTGTATAAAGACATCGCTTACTCATGTCTATTTCTGTGGGTGGCCAAGCTGAAACAAAGATCACATTGCAAACATGCTATACTGGCTATGACATGCTGAGAATTGTGCAAAATTTCATCATGTTCAAGCTTTTAAGTTAATACAAAAATGCAAAGAGTATAGATCAAAGCTTTTCATTCTGTTTCAAATTATATCTTTCTTTCCAAAACTGTTATTTTGACACATTTGGTGCTGTTCCCTGCCCAGTAGAAAAATAGAAAATATTTTCCAAAAGTTCTACATAATTGTGCTCGGTTATACAATTTGAATTCAGAAGCTAGATAAACCTGGTTAGTAACAGATGCTGCTGCAGTGGTTGGAATTTGGCCAATGCAAAGCAACCTTGAACACGTTTGCATGACCAAGCGAGAACTCTATAAAAATCCTGTGCACCTTTTCTATCTAATTACTCTATTATGTTTCAAGTAATCACAATGCTGTGTATTTTCTTTTGAGTGGAAGAGAAAATTGAATATGCCTTGTTAGAATAAAGAAAGGAAACTAACAACTACCTCACTAGGATAAAAACAACTGTTGAAGTGTGAACAATCTTTTCTCTATAAATGTTCAACAATTTTTTCTATCTTTCTTATAAGTAAACAAGTTTTTTGTGTTCTCTATAAATTACCAAAATACAATTTTATTCCCCAGTTGGATAGGAAAGTGCATATTCCTGAAAGGGAAGATAAAAAAAAAATAGTAAAAACTAATATTACTTAATAGAGTACAACTGCAATAGTGTGTGTGTGTGTACGCATGTGTGTGTATACGCACATGTGTGTAGGGGAACTGAGGGGAATATTAGCCACTAATTCATTTCTAAATATTATATCATATTTTGCCTTGGCCAGTATTTCACAGTGGTTAGAGTGTCTGCCCACACACTGAAGGGTCATGGGTTTGATTCCCGGCCCTGCCCAGTCATGTGTCTCGCATACATTGATGCTTCTCTCTTTCTCTCTCTCCCTCTCTCTCTCACCATTCCTCCCACTCTTCCACTCTCTCAAAAAATTATGGAAAAAAAATATCCTCGAATGAGGATGAGCAAAAAAATAAATAGTATACTGGATTTAATTATCTATAAATTTTAAAATTTTAAATCCAATTGCTAATCCAAGAACTGTGAAATGTTAGACTTTATTTTTTCCCCCTAACCATTTAAGCAATTTTATTTTATTTTTTGGTAATAGGAAAAACTCATGATAAAATTTAATTTGGTAATATAGTAGCTTTTTAAAAAATATATACTTTTATAGATTTTAGAGAGGAAAGGAGAGGGAGAGATAGAAACATCAATGATGAGAGAGAATCATTGATGGGCTGCCTCCTGCACGTCCCTACTGGAGTCCATCCCACAACCTGGGCATGTGCCCTTGACTGGAATCAAACCCAGGACCCTTCACTCCACAGGCGGATGCTCTTTCTGCTGAGCCTAACCAGCTGGGGTGATAGTAGCTTTTAATATAGGAAAATATTTTCAACCACCAAATGCAAATATATAACCAGTAATAGAGCATTTAGTGTAGACCTCTGTTTTACAATTTTAAAAAATTTTGTATTTTAAGAATAAATTGGCAATGGAAAATATTAGAAACAAAAGTGTTATTGATATTTGACCAATCTAAAAATGATTTGGGATTGGTGCTAAAAGCCAGACACTGAAAACAGATAAATATGGCCTGCAGTATGATTTGTTTGTTCTATAGTGTTAAACCTGTTAAAATTGATTACAAAGTTTGAAAGTAAAAGACCTTACATAAAAACAAATGTCAAAATCAAAAGATCTGACATAAAAAAATTCTTGATTTTCAGCAATTGAAAAATTAGGAGATCTGTCAACATGGGGCTTGCATTCCTTTAGGGTAACAATTAGCAAGAACTGAGGAGCAGCTGTGTTTCAGACAGGATCTGTTTGTTCCAGCATACCACAGTCCCCACTGCTCCCCATTGTCCCCATGACAATGTAGTTAAGTGCCAGTTCCTGATAGTTGCCTTTTTAGTACTGTTCACACATTCCTGTTACTTGCCTTTTTTTTCTGGAGCCATTTGAGTTTATGATTTGGCATATCAACAGCTTACAAAAGTGTACTAAGATAAACTACTAGGTTTCTTGGCAGTGCTTGCTGTCATGATTGACAGGAAGCTGAATAGGTGGACTCTAGGAGTCTCCATATCTTCGCCATAAAAATCTTTGCTTTTACTTCTTTGAAATATTACAGTTTCTGTTTATCTTTTTAAAATATTTTTATTGATTTTGGAGAGAGGAAAAGAGAGGAACAGAGAGATAGAAACATCCATGAGAGAAAAACATCATTAATGAATTGCTTCCTGGGTGCCCCTAATTGGGATTGAGCCCAAAACCCTGGCATGTGCCCTGACCAAGAATAGAACCATGACCTCCTGGTTAATGGGTGAATGCTCTACCACTGAACAACACTGCTAGAAATTAAGGGGTCCATGGAAAAAACACAGGGCTACAGAGCAGCAGGAAGGTACATTTCCATAGAATAAGGGAACTGGAAACAGCAGAAGGTATGAATTTACAAAATAAAGGGAAGGAAGCCCTCATTCAGAGAGGGAAGAAGAAAGCCCGAAGGGAATGGGAAAGCAATAAGGGAGAAGAAGAGGAGAGCCTCCAGTACCTCACTTGAGGTTCAAGCTCTGGGGTTGCTATAGTAACCAACCTAAGGGGATAGTGACCAATCAGAGTGCATATTGTGGGAAGCCACCTATTGTCTTTACCAGCAGAGAGGTATGGGCAAGGAACCCGGAAGGCTGGTTACCCTTGAAGCCCTGGCAAAGGTCAGAACTATGCATCCACTGTTTAGTCCAGACAATGGTAGCTGAAGCAACTTCCCCACCAAATAGTCATGTAAATCCTTACTGATAAGATAGTCTGCTTGTTACTATGGAGCTTGCCTGCCTAAGGGCTATGGGTGGATCCCAAACTCAATAAAAAGATGGTGAGGCCTGAGCACAAGCGAAGTCCATCCTCTTGGGATGGGCTCTCCCCTAGTCCCCCAATTTCCAAATTATTATCTCTTGTCTAGTCTCTTTCATTTGTGTGTGGCCCCTCTTCCAGATCCTGAACCCTGAACCACGTGGGATGCAGGGGAAACACTACACAGATATCAAGGCACAAAGATCTGCAGCCTTTATAAACCGTAGGAAAACAGACTCAGTGGGACTCCCCTCCCCACGTGGGAATCTGTGCTTGTTTCTCAATAAATTTCCACCTTTCACTATACCACCTTTTGTCTGTGGTTTCATTCTTTGATTCCACCTGGACAAGAGCCCAGGAACCATCCTGCCCGGGGGAACACCACACCTTCCAGTCCAATTTTTCCGTATCAGTATTTTGTAGATGTGGTTAACCTCTACAATTAGTTGACTTTAAGCAAAAGAGATGACCTCACTAAATGTGGGTAGACCTCATCCAATCCATTGAAGGCATTAGGAGCAAAAACTGAAAATTCCTGTAGAAGAAGAAATTCTGCCTCAAGATTGCAGCATTAACTCCTGCCTGAGTCTGCAGTCTATCAGTCTGTCATAAATTTAGGTGTTTCCAGGCCCACATGATATGAGCCAATTTCTTAAAATCTCAATCTCTCTCGCTCTCTCCATATCTTTCACTAGTTCAGTTCTCTGGAGAACCCTGACTGATAGTTATGTTATGTAGAAATAATTTAAAGTAAAAATTATTTTAGATCATTGTTTTAGTAAATATTGTATTATAAATTTTATTTTAAGTAAATTTTATTGCAACATCTTAGATATTGATAAAATATAGGCCTTTATTTTTCCCATTTGAAATGCTATTCAGTTTCAATTATTACCTGTAAAAAAAGTATGATGTGCTAATATATAAATGGCATATAATAGATTGCTGTTTGAGGAACAAATGTACATTAAAATGTAAATTGAAATACAATTATGTATTATTAGAGGCCTGGTGCATGAAATTCGTGCACAGGGGGTAGGGGGGTCCCATCAGCCCAGCCTGCACCCTCTTGCAAGCCTGGTCGCCCCTAACTGCCCCCTCCCGCCAC